GCGCAAACGTTTTTCTCTAGTGCCCAAGGTACATTAAATTAGGTGAGTTATCTAGAAAAAGACAGTAATATTGTCTAATTAACTAAATGGAGTTCGTTTTCAATTTATCTGAAAGCTTTTACATTCCAAACTGTGATTGTAAATTTTTAGTTTCAAATCGTATTCCAGTTCCAGTTCAATTTTTTTTCCACTGATTGATGGAAAATTAATAATTACGAAGTAAATAAGTATAACTACAATGATAGGTGATAGGTTAAGGGGAGGGGAGGTAACAAGTTGCAGATATATATATCATAAGTCTAATGTCGCTTTGCAAAGATTGGTAAAAATACATGGCGTGGCGTTTGTCCCTAAAGAATTTAAGAATGACATTCTCACGAGGTTACTGTAAAATTAAAAACTTATTCTAGTGATGTCTTCTCTTGAAATAGTTAAGTAGTACAAACATATCACACATATCGAGGGAAGGAGGGATGGAGGGAAGGAGGGAGGGATATGGAGGGAAGGAAGGAGGGAGGGAGGAAGGAAGGAAGGGAGGGATGGATGCAACTTGCAACAAACCAACCAAATGTCATAGTCCGTTTTTCTCGTACTCTGATTGGGCGAGAGGGTATTACAAGTTTCGATGTTCCCTTGGCAACGGCTTTCAGCGGGCAACAATCGTTGACCTGGTAATAATACCGGAAGAGATTTCCCCAGAAATGTACGTTTTTCTAATAAGTTTTTTAGAAATCAAATGATCAAAAAATCAAATAGCTGCTTTTTTTCTTTGACACTTGGTATGTAACAAAACACTTATTGACTTGAACCTCGGGAAAGCAGTTCGCCTCGTGAAACATCGAGGGGCCACGAAACACACTGTTCCCCTCGGTCCCAGTGAATAAGTGTTAAATATGACATAAGTCCAATGAATGGCGAAAATTCTGATCCAGAAAAGACTGACTGAATTCAACATGATTGCTGTCAGATAGCCCAAGCTGTGTAATAAAGGCGTTTAATCCGTGCCTGGCAGTGTTTCATCAAGACAAAAATAATGCCAAAGCCAAGAATTTCCACCTACCCCTCCCTGTAATAATATATACTTGTCACGCAACATTAGGCTCTATTATGTAACAAATGTAATATGACTCTCTCTCCCCTCTCTCTACACACATTGTATCAAGTTAAGCACCAGAATAAGTATGCCGAATTAATCATCATTAAAGCAAGCAATCATAATCAAAGCCTCCACTAAATATCATGACACTCCCCTAGTCAGATCCAGTCTTTTCTAACCGAGTATAGTAGTCCCATAATTCCTTGTGGATCGAGTCAGTTCATCCTCCACGTGCAGCCCAAGGCGATTGAAGGTATGCGTTTTTTCTCCCTAAAAAAACAAATTTCTTCAACATTCTTATGAATTTTGTGATTTTTATTCCATACAATTGCTCATTATACTTCTAGGTTGGTAAATATGAAGAATTTCAGGGAAAGAAAGGTTATTTTTAGGCCTAAAATGTGGATAAAGGCGATAGCGTCTCTTCACCACGCGGACGACGTCAAGATGGCGGACCACTCCAAGGTATTATAAGAAGGCAATGGTTCTTTTTTTAACGGAATATCGGTTTGAATTAAGGGTTATCAGACAGCGCTTAGCGTTAAGCTGGGGATTATTTTTAAATTTAAGGAAAGATAGTTTAAAATTTAAAAAAATTAAAGATCCTTTTTCATACTGGATAGTTGTAAGATTTAACCAATGGCTCTCAAAGAGTTTTGCTTCTTCTGATTTATTTTACTTCTTGTAACGAACGTATATATGTATTTTTGTCCGTAATAGCAAGTTTCTATCCATTTTTGAGGGGTTAAAGAGTAGTTTCTGTGTCAGCCCTTCCCACATGGTTCTGTGGTCACTTGTTAGCGGCCACGTTGAAGGTCAAAGTGGTCAATGAAGATACATTTCCAATTAACAAGCATATGTCTGAACTATAGATTGTTGAATGCTTCTATTCAGAGACCACCTTCAAAATAAATTTGTGTGGCATAATATTCCTATGTTCTCTCTTGATTAAGACCATATTTTTGTATTTTTTAGGACACTGTTGCTTCAAAATGAGGGTTAAAGGGACTCCAGCAAATACAACAAAGGGACTCGAGCAAAAACAACCTCATGGAAGGTGCAGCAGAAGGAAGTCAAAACTGGTTGGCAATGGACAAGTGGAGGTTAGCTTTTATTTGGAGTTTTGAATTAATTTGTAGTTTGGATCACAGTGATGACTAGAATAATCCCAGCTCGCTTTGAGCCACAGGCGTTGAAGAAAAAATGTTCTGTTTATTACTTCTGAGTGATCTGGCAGCCACGTTTACTTTATTCATTGTGACTTGATTATGAATTTAAACTGATTCCCATAACCAATTGTATCATCTTGTTATCGTAGGTTCTGCATAAAGAATATCAAACATAGAGACAGATATCTAAATATCTGGGCTCTTAATTACAGCTGTTGCAGAAGCAAGGACCAGAGAATCACAGTTTGTCTTTAAGACACAGCTGAATGTTGAGTAATTACTCTCAAAAATAAAACTTTGGCCCTAATGAATCAAAAAGAGACACTTCCATTCATGGCTTATTCTTTCAATCAGGTAAAAAATCGATTTTAAAGCTTAATTGCTTAATTCTTTGACGCTGTTCATTATTTTATGAATGTCAGGGTTTATACTACTTCTAGAACTCCCTCAAATCCTATGGAATCTGTACTTCATTTCAAAGGAAGCATTAAAAGTCTTTGAAGGTCGTTTTGGTGGACGTCAATCAAAAGGCATTAGCATAACATTGTCAGAAAACACAAAGCTATTAGGGCACGTGCCTATAGAATGTCATGGAAACGACTTGATTGACGTCCACCAAACGCTTCTTCGTCGCGACAGAAACAATCTCTAGAGTGGCGTGTGTGATTGAGAATAGCTGTAACGGCTGCACATAAGACACATGCATGCAACTCGAACATAGAATCTTATTTTCAATAGAACAACAAATGGCCTAAAAAAATGGAAATAATTCATGCTTCCAAAGAACTTTGCACAAAACCCTGTAATGTATGATTAATGAATAAGTTAGTGGTGACGAACACTGGATCACAAGGATGACTAGAATAATCCCAGCTCGCTTTGAGCTACAGGCGTTGAAGAAAACATGTTCTGTTTATTTCTTCTGAGTGATCCTCACCAACATCAAATGAATTGTTTTTTTGTTGCTCCTTTTTTTCCCCTTATTTCTTCAAGCTTAATGTGTGTATTTTCATTTATTGACAGGAAAAAGCTAAAATGCAAGGAATTTTTCTTTGAAAAAAAGACAGTAAGTATTGCAAATGCCATATGCCCCTTAAATCCTAGATTTTATCACGCCCTGAAACCACCTCTGGGATGATCTTAGTCCGAAATTAGCTAACTCTCAAGTGATAAAGTGCTGAAACAACTTTTGGTCAGATCAAAGTCAGGGCATGGCTACACACAGTTCAAGCACTAAAACAACCTCTGGGCTGATCTAAGTCAGGGTACGGATAATTTACAAGTTGAACACTAAAAAAACTCTGAACTGATCAAAGCCAGGGCATGGGTAACTCACAAATCTAACCCTGAAGCAACCTTGTTTGAAGTCACAGCATGGCTAACTTACAGTTTGAATTGGAGTTGAAGTGTAACATGTTTCCTAGAAATCTCCTGGAATTTGAAAATTAGCATTCAACAGTTATCAATAGCAGTTGCTGAATCATCAACCAAAATTTAATGTTAATGGCTGTCATCAATCAATGCATTTTAATGACAGTCCAGTATCCCAGACATCCTATTTATCCTATGTGTATAGGATCCTATAAAGAGCCTTTATTTCAAAAAACCTTCTTTATTTCCTATAAATTGAATGTATTTATATTTTGCACATCTAGCATTTTTGTAGCCTTCTACACAGATGTAGTATGTAGATGTAGTATATTTCCTATCAAATTTGTCCTATTTTCTAGCAATGGCAAACTACAATTCAGCACAATTGCACTTGAGAAGAACTGTAAGCTTATTCCATTGTCCCTGAAATACAGTACAAATCCTATTGTAATTTGAGAAGTGTGCAAACTGGTCAGTGATGAGTTACATCGACAAGCATATGTCTGAAATAACTGTGGAATACATAACTCTCTTTCTGAGACCAGACCATGACCTGAAAAATTCATAATCACCCTTACCATCTTTTCAAATATTGAGATTTTTTTTTTTTTGCTTTTCAGATATTTGGAAAGTGATTATCCATTCTTCTGGGGAACATCTAGATAGGATTTTTCACAAAGAAAACTTGTATAAATGTGAGAAGGATAATGTTCACCAAGATACAGCTTATATTAAATGTAAGTGCACACACTCTTAAAAACCTAGATTATTGAGACCAGGTTTAGGATAAAAACCTGTCATCTGTTTCTAAACTGCTGGTTTTCGCAGCTGTCATCAGCATCATCCCTCTTCAAGTCAGGAGGTGCCGTCACATTATTCAAAGCTGTCATATTTACCCAAAAATAATTTCATTTCTTTTATATATATTGAGAGGAGAATATATATTTTGAAATAAAGCTATCATAAAATATATGAATATGTCAATGTCCAGATAGTTGCATAATGTTTGCTGGAGGAACATCAATAGTTAAACTGTTAACACAATTTTTCCCCATTTCTGATCACTTGTCATTCCTAGATTAGATAATTACTTGTGTATTTTAAATATCAAAGCAAAAATAATGAAAATACAGGGTTTTTATTTTGGGTTGGAGATCAGAGAATGTTCTGGTAACTGAGCAAAGTTATCTTCTGTTATTTCAAACTTAATAAAAACCCTGCCAGCACTCTGTGGCTAGTTTATGATATCCTATTAGTTCAAAATTTTAAATGAAAACCCTGAAATATATATAAGATGTTGCCCGTTAAAATTTTTATCCTAAACTGAATTGCTCAAAACATTGATAACATTTCAAATGATGAATATTCCACAGACCTGTACTGATCAATCATGAGGAAGTGGATAACTCTCTGATGAATACATACAAATAGACAAACTGTCAATATACCCTTATGCAGTGCTTTTGTATCAACTGTTCTGTTCCTTTATGTTTTCATTAGGGAAGCAAGAATCTGAATGGTGTTGCATAAAAACGTGTATCCAAATGTTTGTGCTCAAGTCATACAGGTGTTAGTAGAGGTAAGCTACAGACTGTTTTTTATGTGTTTAGATTCTTGTATCTATTTGGGGTTGTGTTGATGAGTATTGATGAGTGCAAAGTAATCTGTGATTTAATAATGTGAGCTATGATGATATCAAGTCTCGTTCGTATGAAACAGTTCTGATTACAAATAAAGACACCTGAGCTCACAACTGTACTGTTAATTAACTTCATGCATGACATTTCTCTGTTAAATCGAAAAGAAATATCACATTCTTTCTTTTTTGCCCACAGGTGTACTCATATTGACTTTACTAAAAGAACAAGGATGCCAGATAAAGCAATAAAACTGGATTCATTCAACAGTTACAACAGTTTTTTATTTCCACCAAAAAATATATACATACATAAATTGAATAAGTTACAAATATTGTGGGGAGTGCAAGGGAACAACCTCAGAGGTTAAACAAGCTCTTACACCCTTAAGATGAAGATGAGTAATATTTACATATATGTAAGATGGGAAGAATCATATATAGTACAGTAGTTTTCGTAGTTGAACAACTAGAAATTTCATAAAACAAAATAAACGTACAGGAAAAAGAAAAAATCAGTAGTTTGATATAAGAGGTCATTATAACGTTACGGACTCTTGATTATGCAAAGTAACACAGTTGTAACACAGGGAGTTTTGCCAAAATGAGAATCCTGAAATAATTTCATAATTAAAATTGGACAACACAAATCATTCCCTGTGGGAAATCGGCAACTTATCAAATTGAAGTATTTCAAATAATGCATAAATATTCTGAATTTTATCTATGATTTCCTCATTCATGCATACATCTATCTCGAGTATTTATTCATTTATTTAGTTTCATTCATTCATCTATTTTCATTCATTTATACGAAAGTCCCGAGGAGGTTATGTAACAAGTTTGAAAGAATTCTAGGAAAACTGATGGACAAATCGGACCTTATTCGTCTGCTGCAGCAAGTGCTGCAGACAGAAGCTCCCAAAGGATGCTAGTACTCCGAAAAGGGGAAAGATGATGAAACGTATGGCTACCTGGTATGTAATGCGTATGCTAGAATTTGAACTACAAGATAGAGCACACGCTCCCTAAAAAGTTTTTGAATACAGTGATAGAGCTACTAATGTACAGTGAAAGCCGTTTTGGGCAAAAAAATAGAAATACCATAAAATCAAAATCATTGAAAATACAAGCATACGTAATTGTGTCGTAGGCATCATGTGGCTTCCTTAAAAACTGAGTTGCGTGAATTTTCTAGAATGACCGTCTTTAGTTTAAACTTTAGTGCATGCAAATATAGAAAGATAACTTGTTTTTACAGTTAATCCATTTCTTCGGATAAATATGTTCATTGCTACTGTATGTGGCGAAAGTAGATCAAGAACTTGCGTCTACTTTTTTTTACCAATTTAAATATTCACTTAATGAGAATCAGTACTAAAAATATTAAGGTAGGTGCAAGAGAATATTTAATATTCTCTTGGGTAGGTGGTATAGTAGTCTCCCTCGCATCCGTTAGTGTCTAAAAACGGATGCGAGGGAGACTAGTGGTATAGGCACTTTGATCATATATCCTTTTGCTCTCTAATGCGAAAAAAAAGGTTAACTACATCTTAAAACACCTGAACACAAGCAATACGCAATATTTTTTAATTCATAAGCGTTTTATTAAGTTAAACAGATTAACAAAAACACCTGGAAAAAAGCAAAAACGATTCCCAAAGGGGGTCGCTCGAAATGATTTATGAAGCGAATTCACATGTCAGTGCTGGTCAGTTGAAGTCGTTTCTGATTTGGCGGCGATGACTCAAGGGGACGTCGGGGGCATTTTCCAGTGTCTGTAAAAGCAAAGAACCGAGACATGGCTGTTAGTTTGGTAGTGTATTTTAAGAGATTCGATATAAAAACCAATTCACAACCCTTGTTTGGACAAGAGCCCCGCGTCATTAGAGTGAAAACGGCCTTCAGCAGAAACTAAATCAGAGGGGGACTTATGTTTTATTTTTTTGATAATGTAACGGAATGAATAAAGGTTTTTTTACTTCTTATTCTGGGTTCTCATTCCTGGGCCCCCGCTGCGCCCCCGAGTATAGCTAATATGAAAACAAGAACACTCGGGCTAGTAAGATATCTGGATCGATTAATCACCGCTCGATCACATACCTTAAAGATTCCGTCTCTTGAGAGAAACCGTTTCCTTCCATGACATTGTCGATCACCTCTCTTACAGGACCCACCAGCAAACGCTTCTTGCTCTTCAACCAAAGACGCGAAAACCAGAAAAAAACACTACACAAAGTCCAATCACTTTACAAGACATCTTTTAGCTGAATCAGTTGGTTTCGCTCTGTCCTTCGATCCTTCCTCGTAGCGTCGTTGGCGTCAACTAAAGCTTGCAAGTCAAAACTGAACTAACTTTTATTCCGAAATCATTCTTTTACTTGTGCTTTTATTTACAGACTTGAAAGGTTTGGTCTTCGCCGAGGAAATGAAATTTAAAATAAAATAAAGCATTGTGATATTCTTTGTTGACTTTTGATATCGAAAAATCATTGTAAAGTTACTTGATGAAAGTGACCTTGATATTTTAGCGCGAGAAGTCTTACATGTATGAGCAGGAAGCGTCTGAAATAGTTTAAGCAGTCGGACATGTTCATATCCATCACGTTAAAGAGTGCGCAAATGATGGCCGGATCTCATTACACAACAGGATACTTGCAACAACGATTTTTATAAGTACATTTGTTTATTTGCACACCTGCACACGTATCTTAGTTAATGCACTCAAGAAAAGTCTCTAAATGGTTTGAAAAAATTACGAATGTGAAAGCGCGAAGCGAAAATGATTTGCCAAAAGCATGGGCGTCCAAATCAGTCAATAAGACGCAATACCTCAATGCTTGTAATTGGATGGTTTTAGAGCCACTTTATGACATCCGATTTTTCATGAGTTTTCTTAAAATGCTTCCTTTGAGGTGATAATAACATGCGTAAATACTAGAACGGGAAACAGGCGCAAATACTGTCTTAAAGACCAATTAAATTATAAGCCACTTGCGCTTGGATAATCGTTAGCAAATTTTGAAGTCAAGCCCTTTTAAGATTCTTAAAATCTAAGAAATGGGATTTAGCACAAAGGGTGAACGGTGAAAAGCCTAACAGGTCTTAGACTTTTGAAAAGTTCGCCGAATCTAAAAAGGTCGACTTGGGGCAAGTCTAAACAGGTCTTAGCAGCCACTTGATAAGGCAGCTGATAGATCAAATTAGAATTAAGAGGTTGGTTTTTGAGGAGGGAGGAAAAACCTTTGAAGCACAGGAGAGAACCAACAAACAACTCTACTCTCATACCACAGCAATTGCAAGCACGGTATTCTAACTCGAGTCGCATTGTAGTCTCCTCTGCAGTGTAACCACACTAATAGCGACTGTGTATCAGACTTGTCCCATTGGTGAGAGGCGACGCATTAACAACGCACACCAGCCACGCTTCCCAACTTGTCAAATTCATGCAGGTTGTCAGTTATTAGAACACGTGTGATCAGTAGACGAATAAAGAATTTTTGACCGTCCTTTTTGGACTGATTTAAAAAGATGGGAATGGAAAACCAAATAGAAGGGAAATGGCTTAATATTGTTTTTGGATTTGTATAGTTAAGGGCTGCACTTTCATCAGTCCAGAGGTTGTATCAGGGTATCAATTATAAAATAATATTTGAAGCTTTTTATAACGATGAAGCCCCCATCATATTTCTGCAACCCACACTCCAAAATCAGTACTTTTTCTTGAGCCAAATTTTAAACTGGTCTGAATTACATATTGTTTAAAGCCAAGAATTTAGACCCTTGGGCAATGATACTATTATATATATATAATTTTCGAGGGGCAGGTGGGGTCAGAGAAAGAACTAAATAAAAGAGTTTGTATGGAAGAAAATTGGAATTTCCGGGGGAAGGGGGATGGGGTCTGAAAAAAAAGTCCTCTGTGGGGGGGGTACGGATAATTTCTGGAACTAAACATCGTATACATTAACTTTTTTACTATGTAAGAAGGTACACAGACAACCTTAATATATAGGTTTATACATGTATTTGACTAAAATGATAATTTCAGTCCCTTTTCTAATTTGGTAAATACTGTTTTGTTTTATGAATAAATACTCATTTGTCCAGGTTTAGCCTTAAGTGAAAACCATCTGCAAAAGTCAACTGTAATGCAAAGAATGTGCAAGGTGAATAATACTAATGTTTCGAGATTCAACAGACTCTTAATGGTATCTGTGAATAGCTGACTTATAAGCAAGGCTAAACCTGAACAAACTTGCAAACCTGTTCAGTGTGAGTCTAATTCTAAACCAGTGTTAAAATAGTTAGTTTCGGCACGTCATGTATGAATGGCAATAATGTTTTTGCATACTTTTATGCACTTTCTTTTTTACCTTAAACTGGCACATTCCCATGCGAAGCTGGCCGGTTTTACCAAATAAGGCAGCATTGTAAAAGGTTGTTTGGTATCAAAAAGCCCATGCATAGAAGTATGCGAATACTTTAAATGGGATCATACCTTTGTGCTTTGTCCTGTAAAGCTGAGAACAGCTTACCATACTTATACACAGTACATTTATATACCTTTTTATTATATGACCATGAATCTTAGAGCCTGGACACTAGCAAATCGAGCGATCTGATTGGATAGATCGCATCGTGGACTGGTCTAGATTCTCCGGTATTAACCGGTCGCATATTAATCTTACGGCAAAAACATTTTGTCCTTTTCAATGAAAAGTGGTCATATAATAAAACTCTTATCAACCGAGCTTGGTCGGTCTGTACGGGATAATCTTGACCTCGGTCGGGTACAGACCTCGGTCAAGATTATCCCGTACAGACCTCCCGCTCGGTTAATAAGATCTAAATATTACCCACTCCATGCAGAGATTAAATACTAACAGACAAAAAACCAAGATAATGTAAGTAGCCCGGTGAAGGCACACCAAGGCAAAAGTATCGGTTATGCTCCTCATATCTCTTAAGGCTGGTTTAGACGGTACGATTTTCAACTATTGTATACAACACACTCACACCATCCTACAACTCGAGTGGTAGAGTGTAGATCAAGCCACCAACTTGCCTACGACAGACGCAAGTGTGTTGTATATGATAGTTGTAGGCAAAAATCGTATAGTCTAAATCGGCCTTTAGGGGTAAAAATCAATGATCTTTGATTTGCTAAGACGTGGGCTCCCTGTCTCCCTGTCTGTCCCATGCAATGAGTGAATAACAATATTATTAATAATCATTACATATAGTCCTTGGGAATTTTAGGACCTACATGTAGCTCCCATCTTTTGCTTTGCTCCCTCTTAGTGGGCTCCCTCTGTGCTCTTAAACCTTCTGTAATTGTTCGAAGCAAGAAGTTTACAATATACTAAATAATAATTACCTATATACTGCATAATTCACCGAATGAACTTCAGAGAGACTTCTGTGTTTGAGATCGTCTAAATGGTGAAGGTGATCTATCTTTAGCTCTAATAGAATCTTTGGTTATGTTTAGGGAGATTTTTCTCTCCTGTTTGGACTTGTCAGGCAATTTGCTTTTAAAATTAGGAGATGGTGGGACCTTTACCCAGCATTCTTTGCTGCTTGACTCCTTGATGGCATCCAATACACTTCTTGTGTACAAACCTAAGAATGATAGTGAAACAGTTGAAGGATAAATTCAATACAGACATCATGTTGCCTGCAAACTAACAGTGTGTGTGTTTGAGGGGGTGGGGTGGTTTAATAGCTATAGCTTGGAGAGTTATTAAAATCATTCAGTTCCCAACATGTCACATGTTTGTATAGTGATATAAACACTCTGCGAGCTGTAAGAAATCAAAGGGCAAATGAAATATTTTGATATGCCTTGTACTGTTCCTAAGCTTTTCTCCAGTGGTCTTCAACTTAAAGAATCCAAAACAAATTTGCACTCGCATGCAAAAATGCATTACTGCAGTTTTCAATATTCTGCAAACTCAGTAGCTACAAGCTGCACAGTGACATTTGGTTTTTCACTGCCATCAATCCAAGATAATCAGTGGGTACCTTTTATGTTCTTGACTGGCGGCAGTGAAAAAACAATTTCACAACAAGTCATTGAAATGTCTGGGTCGCTACAGAATATCGAAAATTGCAGTAATTATTATTCTAAGAAAGGGATATAAGATAGTTTTCCGTGTTTGATACTCTGATCTAAACACTTTGAATGCAGAACATGAGAGAAATTGGGGGACCACTCCGCTACATGTTTATTACACTCCTGTCATGTTCTTTCATCATCCCAAGTGTTTAGATCAGAGTCTCTAAAACAGATACAACTTTAGTACATTATATATTTACCATCCTCAAATGAAGCTGCACTTGATATGGCCTGCAAATCAGCATTCCTTCTGTCATCTTTATCAACAGATTCCTCAAAAGCTCTCTTGATTTCTCGAACCCAAGCCTCTAGACCAATCAAGAAAACCTCTGGGGAAGAGCTTTTCTCCACCGAAGGAATAACCCTAGTAGTAGCATACAGCAGTATCTCTTTATTGCCATCTTTTTGACCATGTAGGTTGTCATTCCTTGCTATCAATCGGCCTTCTGAGCCAATTATATTTATAACCTGGCTATATGGACCTGGTATATGGGTACTTAAGGTTACCGTTACAAAGGTACCGCCATTCAGTTTCATTTGAAATGAACAGAAGTCATCCCCTGTGATGTGCCGAAAGCTAGAAATATTTTCTGTTTGGGTAATGAAGGTCTTTAAAGTTCCGTTAACTGATTCTGCTTGCTGATTGGTTAGAAATGAGATAAGGTCTATGATGTGCGATCCGTATTTTGTTAGCACTCCGCCACCCATTGCTTGGTCACACATCCAGTCATACGAGCTCCCAAGCAATGACCCCACACCAATCCGACAGTCACAAACAAGGACGTTCCCACAATAACCTTCCTCAATAAGCCGTTTCATTTTGACAAATGTTGGAACAAATCTCAACTCGTGTTTCATGAGGGACAACAACCTTGGGTAGTACTGAGCAGCATTCACCATTCTATCTGCTTCATCTTTGCTCAACCCAGCTGGTGCCTCGCAGAGGACATGTTTCCCTATAGACAGCGCCTTCACCGCTACATCTGCTCGTTGATGAGGTGGGCATAACACAACGAGCAAGTCCACATCTTCTCTTAGTAAAAGCTCGTCTATTCTTGACGTAGCGAACGGCACATCGTGTTTATGTGCCATGACCTGCGCTTGGTGCTTTGTGCATCCCCAGACGCCTGTCACAGTGAATCCTGCTGTACGAAGAGCTCCAATGAGTTGTCGAGAGCCTTCCCCTGCGTCTACAACTCCAACAGAAGGAAGCATGTCGTTGTCTTTCCATACAATTTTATCCCAACTCAAGCCACTAAATCGAATGAAAAGACCTCATAAAGGCCCCCTTAACCATCGTTTTATAATTTTACCTCGGATATATAGGTATATACGCTTTCTTCTATCAAAAGAATAGCATTTGTAAGGTCAACTTCCTTGAAGTATTTACCACTGCGCCATCTTGGATCAGTCTGAAGTGGAAGTAGAGAGGGAATGAGCACGAGGACACAAGAATTTTTTTAAAATCCAAAAACAATATTGAAATAAACTTCATCATTCATATTAACTGCAAAAACAGTTAAGATATATCAAAGCTTTGGATAGAAAAAGCTTCTTATTTTATTTTGAATAAAATATTGCTATCTACCAACCCAAAGCGTGGGCTCTACTGGGTACGAGACTGAACTTCACCTGACGGTATACCTGTGTTTTCTTCAATTTTCAAGATGGCGGACCAACAAGGTCAAATAGGCATCTTTCATTTTTTATCACTGTTCGTTGTTGCTGCTTCAATGCGACTGTTTTTGATGTATAGCCCTGCTAACGAATGGTTTGCAGACAGGATAGAGCTAAGTACGCCTCTAACCTCTTGGAGTCGAGGTAAGAAAAAATTATCCCAATCCTTTACTTGGGGTATATCTGGAAGCTTAGTTACCCCATTTCAGACCACATGTCATTCCCTTGAGTAGCATTTCTTCGTTTAATGGTTGTAGAAGAGAACAACAGTAAGTTTTTTTCATCTTTTCACGGTGTATAATTTACCTTTTTATCATTACTGTTGTTTCATTAGAAACACCGACGCAGCTCACACTAGTTTTAGCTAGTTATCTCTTCTTGGTATTAGTAATACAATAATGGCTTGATGATTATTGCATGAATTTCTTTTCACAGTACAAGAAGGTATTGTTCTCTTGAATAATGGGATATCACCTTATGCAGGGGATATTGTACATGAGGTACTGTTAATATATTATAGCTTCATTTTATCCATCCATTGTCTATTGAATGACTGATGTCCTTCTGTTCTATCCATCAATCCATCCATTCATTTGTCTATCCATCCGTCTGTCTATCCATTCATCCATCTATCCATTCACATCCATCCATCCATCCATCCTTGTCATTGCATCCATCTATCCTTGCATTCATCCATCCATCCACATCCATCCATCATCTGTCTACCTACCCATTATTCATCCACCCATGCAACTTCCTTTGTATCCATCCATCCACCCAAACTCCCTTCCTTGCATATATACATCTATTCATCCATCCATTCATCAATCTTGCATCTGAATAATCATTTTAATGATTTGCTTTTTCAGCCTTTTTCTTATTCATTCGTACTATCAAATTTAATATATCAATGATTTGTCTTTGAGCCATAAAAATAATTGTACTCTCTTATCTCTGCAGGCACCCTTGGTTGTAACATTATTTTATGGACTAAAGGATGTCTCATCTCAATTCATTCCACTAATTTTCATAGTAAGTAGAGAATGATTACCACTGAGGTTGAGGGTTGAAATATATTTTAAAAACTAGATGACTGTCATGTTATTAAACTACTCTAGTTTTGAGATGTAACTGGAGTAGTAAGATTCAATTGGCTATTGTTGATGGCAAATTCTTTATTCTTAAACTCAGACTGTGCTTGGCTGAAAAACATGGGCAACACCTTTTTAGTGAACTGCAAGTAAGCAGGAAACAGTGTGTTAAATATTCTGGGCCCAACACACTAATGTTTTGCAATATCAGTTCAATAAAAACCGAGGAAAAGTAATTTCATGTACTGTTGTCCACTCAGTCCTTTTGCTGTAAAACAGTGAAGTTAGATGACTGTCATGTGGTACCCTCAAGTGTTGCACAGGGTGGGGGTGGGGGGTAAATTGGGTGACTAATCACCCCCCTTTGAAGGGGAAAAATAATAAGAATAAAGAATAAGGTAAAGCCTAAAGAGGATGCTATGTGATGCCTTTCTATGTAACAGTCATTCCCCTTGAAATCGTTCTGGATCTGCCACTGACCCTTTTAGTCATTAATTGAAATCTATGGGGTAATAAACTTTGACACTTGGTGTTACATAACAATTGAAATTCTTAACTGTAAATTTACTTTACAGGTCATAGATATTGTTATTGGATGTCTGTTGTATAAAGTAGCTGTGTATAACACAAAAAACCTGGTAAGAGTACGTTTTTAATGCATTTTTTCATGCTTCTCTGACCTGGATAGGTTAACGTCGACTGAAGTATTAATAAAGTCATGACATGTTCTGAGCATTTTTGTTAATAGTCTGTTCTAAAGATTTCTTGATGGATGGAAAAAGCCAACAACTTACCAAACATCTTTAACAATACATCTCCGAACCACATGTCAAACCCTTACCCACAACTTACTAGCTGTCTGCCAACCACTTACCAACCACTACACCAACTTTCTGCCAACCACTTACCAACCGTCTACCAACTACTTTTTTACTGCTTACCAACCAATTATCAACCACTTACCAACCACTTACCAACCCCTATACCAACTTTCTGCCAACCACTTACCAACTGTCTACCAACTACTTTTTTACTGCTTACCAACCAATTATCAACCACTTACCAACCCCTATACCAACTTTCTGCCAACCACTTACCAACTGTCTACCAACTACTTTTTTACTGCTTACCAACCAATTATCAACCACTTACCAACCCCTATACCAACTTTCTGCCAACCACTTACCAACCGTCTACCAACTTATAAATTTACCGCTAATTACCAAACAATTATCAACCACTTACCAACCACTTACCAACCGTCTACCAACTACTTTTTTACTGCTTACCAACCAGTTATCAACCACTTACCAACCACTTACCAACTGCCTGCCAACCACTTACTAAACATCTACCAACTGCTTATATAACGCTTACCAACCATTTACCAACTGTCTACCAACCAGTTATCAACAACTTACCAACCACTTAACAACCACTTAACACTTAACAACCACTGACATCTTACCATACAGTGTGGTTTGATCACAACAGCCCAAAACATCATTGTCGTTTTTCTGCATTTTGAAATAAATGCAGTACCTTTTATCTCTGCAGCTAACAGATCAAGAGAGGATCAAATCATCTTTTGCCAAGAATGTTAGTCCCATACTACTGACAGAGAAAGAGTTTGATAACATTCCATTCCTTACCACTGCAGTGTAAGTACTCCTAGATAATGATATGATGGGTAAATACAAACTAAAGGTTGGAAGTGACCAAAAAATAAACATAGAAAAGGAACATGTCCTTCACTGTGTTGCTGAAGACATTATAGCCAGCATTTGAAACAGCATGCTAGCTCACATTAGTAAATGAGAAACATTTAAGTAATCTAATTACCACAAACCCTTGCCAACCTAGTCTCCTTTGCAGTCATCATTAGTTTCAGCCCCAGATCCCCCTGGACCCTGATCTGGGACCAAACTAATGACGGCTGCGAAGGAGACTATTGCCAACCTGGTTTTCATATAACAGCTTGTAACTCTACAGATATTTTTTTTGAAACTGTGCACATTTACTAATTAAGTAAGTAAGTACTATGTATATAATAGTGTGCTGAAAAGTGAGGTAAGTGAAGGGTGGGGTGAGTGGATGGTGAGGTGAGTGGATGGTGAGGTGAGTGGATGGTGAGGTGAGTGAATGGGGAGGTGGTGAGGTGGTGAGGTGAGTGGATGGTGAGGTGAGTGAATGATGAGATTCAGAGTGAATGGTGAGGTGGTGAGGTGAGTGAAGGGTGAGGTTAAAACCCACTTTTCCTAACCTGCTGTTTAATGTCTTCCTCTTCCAGATATCTTCTTAACCCCTACTCTGTCAGTACTTGTGTGGCTCAGTCAACAATCATCTTCACTAATCTAGGTTTAACATTAGCATTGTTTGGAGCTCTCAAAGGTCAGTTGATGTATGTACACTTAGTAATACTTTGTTTACCAATCTTGCTTTAAACGTTAGAATGCTGCCACACAAACTGCCACATGAGACAAGTGAATAAATTAATCTTTAACGTTAGAATGATTCAACTGGAACAAGCTTTCTCTTTCTTGTAGGTAGTAGTCCCTTAGCAACACTTGGCATTGCCTTGGCAACATATCACTCACTCTATCCCATCATGCTCCTCGCCCCTGTGACCTTGATAGTGATCAAGGTTTGTCTAGTTGTATATTGTTTATTCTATGCATTTTATTGTTATTTTTAGTTCAATTGCAGAAAATAAAAATGGCTTTCTTTTGGCTTATTCCATTCCAGTTACTAGTGCCACTCACATAATATTGTCTAATACGAATCATTATTTAGCGATGTCAGTATTTGTGATCTGACTGGTTGAAAACTGTGTTGGTGATGCCATCAACTTGCCCAGCCACATAAAAAACAACTTCTCAGACTCATTAATAATTCATGAAGTCAACAACCAACGGTGACTTTGCATTGTAGTCACGTGCACGCACCTTGATACTTGATCAAAAACTACAACAAATGTTATTCTTTCTAGATAATAAAACAGTTTTTTCCCTGCTGCATTCATTAACACAGCACTCAGGAAGAGCCAAAAGCACTCAAGAAGTGTGAAAAGTACTGCCTTAGTATTGGCTTAAACTAACTTACTCCAGTTACTGGTACCACCCACATATTGTCTAATACAAATCATTATCAACTAGTGCATATACTTTTTTTAGCACTTCTTTTATACTTTTGTCCCTTTCTGCATGCTGTATTATATAGTACCAGAAATATCCATACCCCACCCCACAGAGAAATTTGGAAGTTCTGAGGGGTAGGGGTAGGGGAGTATGATATACCTATAATATTCATGAACAGTTTAGTGGATAGACTTTTATGTAGACACATTTCCTTTTTGTGCACAGTATGATGAAGGAAGTCAGTTGTCAGGAATGTGCAAGTGTGGGATGCTATTTACAGTGTGGATTGCTGGATTGCTTGGCTTRTCTTATTCATTCTTCAATTCCTGGGATTTTATCAAAGCAACATATGGTTTTATGTAAGTATTGAAGGAAAAAACGAAAATTATCATTATCATTATGATCATTATCACTATCTCTTTCATCATCATCATCATCATCATCATCATCATCATCATCATCATCATCATCATCATCAT